GGGAAGGAGGCAGTCCACCCAACATCCACAGGGAAGCCTTTCTGGCAAAAGGGACCAGAGATGTGCTGATGGCTCAGAAAGAAGGCCAGTGTGGCTAGGAAGGCGTGGAGAAGGAGGGAGGAGATGCAGGGGGAGGAGTCCTTAGGGGTTCATGTGGACCTTCTAAGCTCTAATGAAGACTGTGGATATTATTCTACTTAAGATGGGCAGTTACGAGAGGGTTTTCTGCAGAGGAGTATTGTGAACTTTTTGTATGTGTTAGCAATACTCTATCTGTGGTTTGGAGGATGGACTGGGGTAGGGTGAGGAGTAGTGATAAGGCAGGAAGCCGGTAGAATGGTACTTGGAGGTAAAATGACTTCTTCAAGGTCACTTGGATACTAAGGATCACAGTGATGAGTAGATCTTCGGTCAGCACATTGCCCAAGGTCATGCAGAAGGTCAGCGGCAGAGAAGGAGTATACTATTACAAGGTCTTTTGGTATTTAGGGTAATGCTTCTCCTGGCATATGGGAGAAATACAAACATGATACTTCTGGGGCTTGACAACAATTGACTGGTTTATTTTTTGTTTTTGCTAATATGGCCAATATAAGGAAAGGGAAGCTGTGTACTTTTCTTCCTTTCTTCTCATTTTGGTTTTGTTTTGTTTTGTTCGGACTTTTTTGTTTCCATGTACTTTGACTCCTTAAGATTTCTATGCTTACTCACTTCTGCCTAATTACAGGCTTTGGGTGGCCATTTTAAACTATTTTTTTTTACCATGTCGAACTTGTGTTTGAAAAACAATTCCAAGAAAAAGATTTTAGGGCTAACATTTGAATGAAGCTTCTTCAAGAATTAAAACTATCCTATACAGAAAATAGGGAAAATCAATATTAATTTTTAATGTAATCATATCATAGTCTCTTAAGAACTAAGATTTTTGAAATGTCTTTAATTTCCTCATTTAAATGTAAAATACTTAATACCGAAGTGTTCTGAAAGAGATGAAACCACATACAATTATTAATCATTAACTAAATAAAATAATACTTTCATTTGAGCTTATGAGAATATTTTGTCAGGCTATTTGCATTGTAATTGGCACCGATAACCCCTTGATCTTGGGATTTGGATAAATCACTCAGCAACTTTATGGAGGATTTCAGGGAGCTCCTCCCCCAGAGGCTGAATAACTCTGGGGTGCTTTTCTTCACAAAGCTGGTTCTGGCCAATTCTTTGTCATTAATTTGTTACCAATTATGTGTCAAATAAGAGGCAAAAAATGGAGGTGCAAAAATGATTAAAACCGGCCTGTTCTCAGGTAGCTCATCAAAAAGATGAACAGTCAATTAGTAGTTGCAATCCAGTCGTCCCTTGGTATCTGTGGGGGGTTTAGTTTCAGGAACCCCATGGAGACCAAAGTCTGTGCATACTCAAGTCCCACAGTGGATCCTGCAGAACCCACCTAAACGAAAAGTCGACTCTCTGTATCCTCGAGTTGCTCATCCTGCATCCCGCAAATGCTGTCTTCATCCCCATTTGGTTGTGGATTTGGAATCCATGGACACAGAGGGCCGACTGTATTTATTGGAAAAATGTCTGTGCTTAAGTGAACCTGTGCAGTTTGAATCCCTACTGTTCAAGGGACAACTGTGTAAGTTGATACACAAAATGACGTTCCACCTATTATGATAGAAATAAGCCCAGAAGCACCAGGCAAAGCACCTACCTGGCTCTGAGACTATCAGAGAAGGTTTCCTGGAGGAGTTGGTGTTTGAACAGACACACGAAGGATGGGCTCATATTTACCAATAGAGGTGGGGCGGAGAGGAGAGACTAGCACTGCCTTCTTTCATGTGATCTTCATTGGGGAGCTTTATGAGTATATTGTGCAGATGGTTCACAGAAGGCACTGAGCTAAGAGTTCTATGCTTGATGTTGGCTATTGGTTTCTCCTCCATAATGTTAGAAATAATGAGCCATGCCTTAGCACTACATGGTCTTTAAAGTGTGTTTTCATACTGAATCCTTGGAAATGAAACTCCAGGTTCACTTTGATTTGTATTTTGTCAATCTCTTTTCCAATGAAAACTCCCCCGACCTGAACATATAGTCGCTTTCTCATTTGCCTTTTCCTCTTCTCCAAGTCTTCTTATTTCTTGTTTCTCTCTCTTTCTTTTTTTTCCCCCTCATTCATCTTTTCTCCATTTAAAAGTGAAATTTATAAGTGGTGCCTGGTGCCTAGAGAAAATGGATTGAGAGAGCAGTGCACAGTGCATTGTGTTTGAGTCGCACCACAAACAGGATGACACTTCACAGATCTTTCTGATGCTCATTTAACAGGTCTTGACACTTTGCAGAGTTTTGAGGTTCAAAAAACCTTACAGACAATGCTGTAGCACCTGTGTACATGGTCTGCTGTTCAAATAGCCTGGTTTGCTATAATCTAATTTAAAGTAGAGTCAGCAGGAGTAACAGGAAAAGCTCATGTTTGGTGTTGTTTCAAAAAAGGAAGTTGATCACATAGAAGTTGAGTTTTACTAAAATAGCTCACAATAGGGGAACGTGTCAGGACTGGGCCAGAATGGATATTTTTGTTAATATTTATTTTGTAGATCCTGCTAATAAGTAAACTGTTCTTGTCATTTATTTAGACAATTTGGGGGTAGTGCATTTCCTCTTCTAGATAACTAGGGTTTTATTGAAATTACAGATCTTTGATCTCTTGGTTATTAAAGATCTAAGGGATGTAAAGTAACCAGTTTACAAGATACTTGACATATTCCTGAATGGGTTTTTTTTTATGTCTGTGCCACTATATGATTATTGAGAAGATATGTGTGATTAGTTAGTATCTTAACTAGAGATTTTGATGTCATGCTACTTAAAAGTGTATTTCTTGATTATCTGACAATCCATGTCTAGCATGGAGCTAATTGGGCACACATTGGGTAAATATTGGCTTCCCCCATCAAAACTCAGAGCTCAGAATCTACAAATTTCCTGGGGGCCATATTGATTTGGAAGAAAGTCAACTCTTCTGAATTAGTTGTAATGATTCTGAGGTTTTTGAGGAGGATCCTACTTTGCTCTTTGGCTTCCTCTCTCTATCAACCTTCCTGACACTTCCTTAGAGTTTGTTTGTTTTTGTTTTTTTGAGATGGAGTCTCACTCTGTTGCCCAGGCTGGAGTACAATCACATGATCTTGGCTTACTGCAACTTCCGCTTCCTGAGTTCAAGTGATTCTCCTGCCTCAGCCTCCCAAGTAGCTGAGATTACAGGCATGAGCCACCACGCCTGGCTAATTATTGTAATTTTAGTAGAGGCGGGGTTTCACCATGTTGGCCAGGCTGGTCTTGAACTCCTGGCCTCAAGAGATCTGCCCGTCTCGGCCTCCCAAAGTGCTGGGATTACAGGCATGAGCCACTGTGCCTGGCCTTCCTTGGAGTTATGAATGCTTGACGTTGACAGGCATGTCCCATAGGATGATATAATGCAACTGAACCATAAAATGCCTTCTCTGTCTTATCTGCTGTTGGAGATACAGGGTGATCCACAGAGCACTGGAATCTAGATTTTTGGATTTTATTGGTCAATAAAATTAAAAATGGAGAAACAAGATAGAGTTGCTGAATCTTTATTTTGCCACATAGGACATTAAAAAAAGAAAACTCCAAAGAGACAAAGGCTCATATGTACTGTCACCATTTTTTTTTAAAAGAAGGCATGTATTTCAGCATCAAAATGTAGTAAAGACAAAAATCTCAGAAGAAATCAAGTTCTTTCCAAGAGTATCCTTGTTGGTTATATTAGCCAATTTTCACACTGCTATAAAGAACTACCCGAGACTGGGTAATTTATAAAGAAAAGAGATTTTAATTGACTCACAGTTCCACATGGCTGAGGAGGCCTCAGGAAACTTACAATCCTGGAGGAAGGCAAAGGGGAAACAAGGCACATCTTACATGGTGGCAGGAGAAAGAGTGAGTGAGGTGGGAACTACCAAATACTCTTAAACCATCAGATCTCATGAGAACTCACTCACTATCATGAGAACAGCATGGGGGAAACCACCCCCATGATCCAGTCACCTCCCATCAGGTCCCTCCCTCAACATGTGGGGATTACAATTTGAGGTGAGATTTGCGTAGGGACACAGAGCCAACCATATCATTGGTGATGTTGCTTTGATGTTTTCTCTCTGTACTGATGAAAATGTCGCCAAGGCTTTTAATGCACTAAGGAATACGCGAGCGATGTTCAAGGGTTTAAGTTCGTATTTTGTTTCTGGAATGGCTCCAGCTTTTGTTCTCTTTTTCTTTTTTGGAGGCAGCGTCTCGCTCTGTCGCCCAGACTGGAGTGCAGTGTCATGATCTTAGCTTGCTGCAATCTCTGCCTCCCAGGTTCAAGTGATTCTCTTGCCTCAGTCGCCTGAATAGCTGGGACTACAGGCATGTGCCACCACGCCAGGCTAATTTTTTTAGTAGAGATGGGGTTTCAACGTGTTGGCCGGGCTGATCTCGAACTCCCAGCCTCAGGTGATCCACCCCTCTCAGCCTTCTAAAGTGCTGGGATTACAGGCATGAGCCCTCGCACCCAGCCTCTCCTTTTTCATAATTACCTTTTTTTGTTCCATCAGTGTGAATTAAGTGATAGATGCAAATTATATTTTGCTCAAAGTGTAATGCAGTATTCTGAAGGATTCCCAAAAGAGGCCTTTTAAGTTTCTGGGGAGTGTTGAAGAATAGGACAGATCATGATAAGGAGATTTTTTTTCAGATCCTAGAACAGTGAATGTAAAGTTATATAAATCAGTTTTGGAGAATGAAATCCTAGTGTGTGTCAAACAGAAATAAATATCATGCCTTTACTTTTGACTGTTTTATTATTGGTCACTTTTTGAAATAACACAGGGACACCGTGATTGAAAATGAAAGGTAGAGAATGATGGTTTAATCATGATGTCTTTTATTCTTTTTTTTTTTTTTTTGGTTTTATTTGTGAAAAAAAATAGGCTGCACAGCAGGCATCTTCATCCTCACCCAGCCTGAGTGGAATATCGTGTTCTTTCTCTTCCCTGGAAAATACAATGAAGACACCCAGCAGTTTTCCTTCCTCCTTATCTAAAGAGAGACAATCCTTGCCCGACACAGTTAACAGTTCGCCTGCTGCTGAAGATGAGGGACAACCAATAACGTTTGCTGTACAAGTTCATTCACCTGCACCCTCAGAGGCAGGCAGCCACAAGGCCCCGGAAAACAGCTTTGTCACATCAGAAAGTGGATTTTTGAACTCTTTATCTAGTGATGATACTTCTTCATTAAGTAGCAATCATGACCATCTTACTGTCCCGGATAAGCCTGCTGGATCAAAGATCATGGACAAAGGTAAACCAAGAAATTCTTTTTTCTTCGTTAGAGAGTGAGTATTTGTGTGTGTATGGAACTCTGATATTAATTTGTAACAACAATGGTTAAACTCATGCACGATGATTCAATAATTAGTCAAGTGGGGCTATGCCCAGAGATTGCTTTGTAGAGGAGTTTGCATGTGGACAACTCCAGCTACTAGGTCACTAATTACTTGCTATAAGTGTCACTAACCAACTGCTTCAGAACTCTAAGACATGTGATCATAAAATAATGATACTTTTCCACCAATTGGAGAAAAAACTTGCCTCTTTGTTTTTGGTCCCATGTCCCATGCACTGGAGCTTGTGGTGGTTGAGTTAGGATTTTGTAGTCTCGTATTCATAACATCACCTTAATAGTTCAAAATGAGCTTAGAGCAGCCACTTTCCCTGGGCTGTGCCCCAGACAGCATCTAATTCTTAGCCCATCGTCTTCTGAATGTTCCTGTGTGGTTAATGGGAAGACAGACAATTTGCACGCACTTTATGCATCATTAGAACCTTTATATATAAAGGAGAGCACAACTTACGCGTTCAAAAAACATTTTACATCTTAACAAAGGAAATAATTAATTGTGTGATGAAGTTGATAATATGAGGTTTAAAAAATACTCTGATAACTGGTCCTTATCGTTTATTCAGGACTAGCTTGTTTTTATTACTGTTCAATCATGACGCGTCTTTTCTGATTGTGCGCTATTCATTCTGCTGTAAAACACGGTTACCTGATGGAAGATACTGAGCAGTTAAAGAATGATGAGTTTGGTTTGTATATTTTTGGTGTGCCATTGAGAGAAAGTTGAGTTGCTAAATTCCTATAATCACTTGCCAGAGTGTCTAATGACGCAGATGACTGTTCTCTCCTCTCCTCTAGTCTAGTCAGGGAATCTTTCTTTAAGTTCTCAAATTTCAGATGGGTACCCTGCTAATTTAATTTTTGGTACCAGAGTAATTTGGCCAAGGATCACAACTGCAGACCAGGTTGTGTGTGTGTGTGTGTGTGTGTGTGTGTGTGTGAGTGTGTGTGTGTATAGTATTTTAAAAGTATGTAAATTTGAATACTCAGCCTGGTAACTAATTCTCTAGGTTACAACAGTTGTCACCACTCTGTGAGGCCTTACCTAAGGATGCTTTACACAGACCTGCCTGGCCTATTTTTCTTATACCCCTCCCCTCTTAGGCCAACTGTCTATTTTACATTAGAAGAACTGGAGTGAATAAAGTCATTGGCAAACCAACCTATTTCTAGAGGTGAATGAGTAGCATAGGGAGGAGAAAAGAAACTTTATCACTGAGGAATGGAGAGGACTAAAGATTAGACTGTGAGGAAGAGTAGTCTGAACCCGCCCTCAGGTTTGTGAGGTGCTGTCATTTGGACAAAGTATCGAGCTTAATTGTATCTCCTTGGAAGCACAAAATTGAACTCAGTGGTGCAAGTCAAAAGGAGATAGACTGAAGCTCAGCATAAGAACTTTTTTTTTGATGTGAGATGTTCAAAATAGAATGGGTTCCTTGGAAAGTAATGCATTTCTTATCACTGGAGTTGTTTACTCATTCTGAGACAACCATTTTCATTGAATATTGATTACCTATTGCGTATTGATCACAACTCTTGTTCTTGAAAAGATATACTGAAGAGATAATTTAAGTATCTTGAACTAGATGACCTCTACCTTGATACTTAGAAGAGATTTCCAGATATAGGACTGGTGGAACTAAAGAAAATAATACAAAGTACTACATCTATTATTTTTCTCCTACAAACACTTACTTTAATCATTGGGTCATAAGTAGAACTAAAAAAAATTTCACACACACACACACACACACACACACACGCACACACACACCCCAATATGAGCATAGCTTCAAAAACATACTAGAGAATAAAATCCCATTTGCATTCTTTCCCAAGAGATAACCCTGGAGATTGAGAGTTTTCTTTTAGGACCATAGCCAGAGAGTCATGGGAAGATGCAACAGTCCTTGTTCCTGGCTAAATGTCATTCCAGGATTGCATGTGCTGTAGAGCCTGGCTGGATACCAACAGCCCTTTAAATGTAAGAATGAAGCAACCTGGTATTATTTAGTTTTGAGTTACACGCAGAGTGCCCAGCAAAATCTGTACACTTCTTCAAACAGCTCAATGTGACGGTATTCCTCTTATTAAAAAGGAAAAGAAAATGGAAGTTTTTTTCTTTTTGTTTCTCATTGATTTGTTGGCAGTTGCCATATGTTGCAGAATTTTTGCTGATGATTTTCTTCTGCTGCTGGGGATTTGGTTAAATTCCCAGAAGAACTGAACCACTTAAAGTCATCTCTATGGAAACAGCAACCCAATCTTTGCTTGCATTTGTGATGACTTGCTGTTGAGTAATCAAATTTCATATTGTGCATTTTTTTTACATGTGTGTTTCTGTGTTGCAGACAAAGGTAGCTTTTCATTTTTGTGACTTTTAAAAGGTAATGTTTTTGAGTTACTAATAAAAAATTCCTGAAATTCTAGTGTCTGAAATTGTTCAAGGTGCTTTTATGTCAGGGATAGAAGTCTTAACATAGGTCAAAACGAGAGTTAGGATTTTAAAAGATTAAGTCCTGGTCTCAAGATGCATTTGCTGGAGAAAGAGTCTTTCATCCTAGCAAAGAT